CTGCATACGTATTCCCATATATGAGTCATGGTATTTACAAGGAATGTGTTCATCTGCTCCCAGAATCACATGTCAAATCGTTTTTTTATCGGCAAAACTCTCGCGTTTTTGTTATGCTTTTTTTTTTTTTTTTTAAGCAAATTAGATGCTCTAAAACAGACCCCCCAACCAGTCCTCCGCAACAACATATTGCAAAATCATGTGCAATTCCTGGAATTTTTCTTTAAATTTAGCAGGATAAACTGTCCTTACGTAAACTATACACTAATTCAGTTTCCCCGGAAACTTTAGCAGGAAAATTGATGTTACGTGAGCTATCACAAGCACCCTTCACCTATTTACACCTATTTAGTTTCCTTCTTAAATTTAGAGGAAAAGTTGACGTCACGTGAACTGCAGACCAATACAGCTTCTCGCTAAATTTAGCGGTGAAATTTATGTGGCGTGATGTATGCACCAAGTCAGTTTCCACAATAAATAAGGAAAATATTGATTTTACTTCACTTTCCGAAACAACTGTTTAACGTCGTCTGATAACATTTAAACGATATATTAAATACCGCATCATATATATCATACGACTGCAGAAATAAAAGACGGTGCCATTTTTTTAATATGAATTCCTAGACATATTAGGCTATAGTGATGTCTCTCAGGTATGCACATACGTGTACGTTGTAGAGTTCGAAACAAAATATATTCTGTGTTAACAATATGTTTAACATGCTAGACCCCGTTCATAGGAGAACAATCTAAATTCTTAGCTATAATAAAACCACATGAGTAACTCATATGGTTTTAATATAATTAATAGTATAGATTATTCTCCCACTTAAAAATAAACTATATGAGTTATATTTGAACCGGTTTTATTTGAATATTTGAGTTATATTACTTGAACCGGTTTTTCAATGCACCAACAACACCAAAACTCAGCTATTCTTGGTCACATACAAAATACAAAATAGATTAATCAATCAATCAACCAATCAATTAACAAAGTTACTTGTCATGAACCATTCCGTCGTCAGTCGTCAACACCCGAACAGTCTGTAGGGTGTATATTAAAAAGAAATGTGTTGTCCTCTAACTAGTATATAATGCACTACAGAGATAAGAATATTTAAATCGCCTACTGTCTTTCCTTCTGAGTGTTCCTTTTTTTCCCCTCAAATGTTTCATAAATGTTTTTCGGAAGATCGTTAGCGTTTCTTAATGATCTCCAGGAACCCCACAGTTCATTAGTCAGGGAAGTCGCAGTGGGGATTCTAGAAAAAATCATCAAAGACATCGGGGATACCATTAGAAACAAAAAGACTAAATTATGCATCAACTGTGAAAAAAAGACCATTACCCTACTTATACAAATAATCGATTCACTCCGAAATTATCAAACAACAGTTCTGTTTGTATCGTAAAATATGAGACCGTAGTCCATGATGCACGGTATTTCAGATTTTTATCTAGGATTCTTCTATTCGCAACTTTTTACGGCCGATAGGGGAGGGCGCTAGTTCCTATCAAAATGGCTCTCATATGGATGATCGTCGTAGAATAGCAGTACAAAGTTGGACCTGCGACGCCTAAGTAATACGCCTCGCAAGTGGGCTCATTTTCGTCTTCTGCGCATGAGAAAGGAAGTAGCGGTGACGTCAGAACGCCGAGCCCTGATTGGCTGATCGCGACACCCTATCTGAGCGTCGTCTGCTCCTTTGCAACGTCGTCTGCTCGCAACGTCGTCTGCGTCTGTCTTACCTTTCCTGCGACTTTCGGAAGTGCAGGTCTTTACGAGCGAGCTCGACTTCGCCTTTCAGATAGGGCAGACGAAATAAATCGAGCAGTACGTTGTTGATGTCTAACAACTAGCAGACGCGCATGAAGGAGGGAAGTCAAAGGACTCACTGGCGAGGTGTCCTGAGGCGCTGAGGTTTGTTTGCTAAGAACCCTCCCAAATACTTTTTCCGTCCTTTCGTGTGCGGCGAGACCCCTCATTCTTTAACGGCGTCGGCGGGTTGGCGCAGTTAACGTCGTCTGTTTTACGACTGCTAGTCAAAGCGATGGCTGCTTTACCTTTCCTGCGTCTGTCGGAGATTCACCGCTTTTTCACCGGCGATAGTCACCGTTGCCTCGGGAAACAAGGAGATAACAAGAGGAAAAAATTGACCTCTTAATCTAAAACTGAAGTCAGCGATCAAAGTATAATATGGGAAGGGTTCACAACTGTCGCGCGGGCGTATTCCATTCAGCACACCAGCCGGTCGTGGGCACACCATCCGGTCGCCGAGTCGCGGAGTGCCTGCTAGGCCTAACTGCCGTGCTCGCTTGGTCGCGTTCGGTGGAATCGTGGCCGTTGGAGCCTTTCCCGGGTGTTTGTGGATCCAGCGTTCTTGTTCGTCGTGGTCTGTTTCAAGTACTTTTTACTTTTTTCTTGCTGCTTGAAGTCGGGACGCGTGAGAAGCGCACATAGAAAAATAAACGTCCGTGGATCGTCGCGACCTCGACGCTGTCGGCCATGCTGATTTGATAAGTGCGTAAGACAGCTTCGGAGCTGTCGTAGGATTTCGTCGTAACCTGTGCAATACTTACGAAAATTTCGTTTCGTGGATACGAATTTGTTCTTAAGTTATGTCTTACGCACATTTTTGGCGTAAGATCGTTTCGTGAATCTGGCCTCTGCACTTCCGAAAGTCGCAGGAAAAGTAAGACAGACGCAGACGACGTTGCGAGCAGAAGACGTTGCAAAGGAGCAGACGACGCTCAGATAGGGGGTCGCGATCAGCCAATCAGGGCTCGGCGCTCTGACGTCACCGCTACCCCCTGCGCAAGAAGCAGACGAACTTGCCCTCCGCATTCTAAATTTCTAAAATACAAAACGATAGACCCTTGCCTGATTCTTCTTTCATACTAAGGGATACGCAAGCATATTCATTCGGAACCCGATAATCACGGAGCTAGGGAGTGCGATTCTCACACCTCGGTAGCACCATTGCTGAAAGTCGGCATTATTCATTGTCGCATCAAAAAAGAAGGACGGTTTGCTCATTATTCACGCGCTGCCCAAAGTAGTTCTTACAAGAATTGCTTGACAAGGGAGGGAATGATATCTTTGCCGTTTGAAACGCGTATGTCTTAATAAAATAACATAAAGATAATCTTAGACGCACCTGCATATATCTTAATTCAACGGAATAAAAAAGTAATTAGCAACGTTCTGCGAGAAGCCGGACTTGTTTTTTCAACGGTTTTTGAGGTGTATACGTGTATGGACCAGTATCCGAAATCCTAGCCCCCAACGATTGAAATGGGAAATGATTTCATACGCGGGCTCATGTGAAGAGAGGGCCTGCGCATAAAACAAGCGTTCCGCCTTTTACGACACTTTTTTTGTCGGTGTAGTTTTTGGAGCTTCGTGACTATGCACTTCTGACGTTCTTCCACTACGATATGTTCCGGGGTTTCTAAATAAATGGAGCCTGGCAAAAATCGCAGCCTCCCTGCTGTGTCATGCCGTCAGCAGAAAAAACCAAAAAGGGCTGCCGATGGAACAGAGAAGGCACTGGTTTATAGGAATGTTGTTTCTTCTCGCCGGTGGTCTTTGGTCGTTGTCTTTTTTTATACAGCGAATTTATCGTATATAATTTCTACTTTGTGCTGTCTGTAAATTTTATGCCTCGTCGAACACCTGACACGAAAACAGTAATATATATATATATATAGTTATTTGAGGTTGGTCGGTGGAGCTTGTGTGCTGAAACATTTGGTTCATTTTTATATAAATTTCTTCAATGTTTTGCGCTTGAATTTTATACTCGCATGTGGATAATGACACAGCAAACGATACATAAGTTTTGTAGCTTAACAAAAAAAAAAGAGCTCATCGTTTTTTTTTTTTTTTTTAATGATAGAGTTTTTTTTGTTTTGTTTTTTGAGTGATTCACGCTAAAAGAAAACGAGTTGTGCCAAAGAAATGAGGCTGTCTTCAATGAATGTGACTCTGAAGAACAAACTTAAAATATAATTACTTGATATGAATTACAGACCATTCTAATAAATGTAATGGCATCTACTGTATCAGAATTATATAACTCTTTGGTTCCTTTAGAATCGCGTAAGACCTACTGTATCTTTTAAAGTATTTTTATCTACCCACAGTCACGATTATCACTTGCAAACAGGTAGTGCCGTATGGATTCAAATGCTCTATAATAATTTTTGTGGAAGATTATGAACGGAAATTGATGGTGGAGGAAACTTTCTAGAAACCACAAGGGTGATTATCTAAGAATGCGATAGCATGCATCGTTGCACTGACGGGTTGATGTTCGGTTTCTCGAAAAAGTTAGCGGGGAACCTGAGTTCGTGCATTAGTCACTTGACGAAAATTTTTATCTAAATTTAGCGGTGAACTTGAATTGGTGCATAGGTCAGGAGAAGTCAATTTTCTGCTAAATTTAGCGAAAATTTACTACATTAAAGGCGACATACATTGGCAGAAATTTGTGATGAGTCGCTTAGCATTGCTTAAAACAATGGCATGAAAATAATCCGTAAGTTTATTAAATATATGTCACCGATTGTACCAATCAGTTAAAAAAAGAATACTGACAATATCAATATCAATTTACCTTCTAAGTTGGGAAAACAAACGCTCGCATTGGAAAATTCAATGTCCCTAATTGTTCTCGTTTAAGGACTAAGTTTCATTCACGGCATGATCTGGCTTAGTAAAGTCCAGCGGCGTTTCCGAAGGAGTTCACTGAACATTACAAGAAACCTAGCTCGTTTTTCATGGCCTGGTTATGCCTCTTTCGGTTCTCTAAGATTTTTGCATAACCTTGAAAAACTCTAGGTTTTTTTGTTTCTTTGTTGTTGTTTTTTATCCGTAGACAACTCCAATAACAATGATATAATTAGATTGAGCTTGGCAGGTGTTGTCATCTCATTCACAACCTTACAAACGACCAGTTCACACAGTACAAATACAGCGTCCTGCTAAGTAACTAAGCTGGTAGAGTTGGTTCTTTAGCAGTAGAGGTAGCGCCTGTCACCGGACGAACTCCACTCATCCTCCAGGCCATGTAAGTCTTGAAGAACAAGCAGCAGACACCGTTGAACAGGGGGCGCCACCGAGCAGCCACGAACTGAAAGTTCACAAGCTCCACCGGAATCCAGAAGAGGTATACCACCGTCTGCAATGGTAGATATTTGGTCCTTATACTCTGCTTGACGTCTGTCCATGACCGTCGCTGGAACACGTCGAAGAGGATTATGGTGCCGAGTAAAAGTAGCGGCGAGAAGAGAACTTGACCGAGTAAGGCTTTCACAAGGATGGCGCCGTGGATCTCCTGACCAACCACACTCTCAACCCACGAGTACCACGTGACGACCAGCGGGCCCGTGTACAAAGCACCGATCATGAAGAATCTCGTCGCTTGCCTGGCGTCAATGGCGGGCTTTCGCTGGATGATTTTCTGGGAGATAACGTCGCCCAGAAGCAGCATCGTAGCGATAGCGAGAACTTGGGTGACGGCCGGCGTAATGTTTACGATACCGTCGGATGACGCAAACAGCCAAGCCATGATGAGTGCCGGCGATCGGAGGCAGAACGCGCAGCGTATAAGTTGTGTCGTTGCCCGTGCTCCCCTCCACTGCAAGTCCGTTGCTTACCACTTTTTTTTTTCGACGACACAGCTGAACTCAAGCTGTCATTTAGGAACCACGTGATCTACGGTTGCTCATGTGTTGTACTGCAAAGCCATCTGCGACCCATTTCCCGCTGGCATAAACGAGTACCTGTAGTGTGCATCGCAGTGTTGGGAAGTACTTTAACTACACTGTACTTGAAGTATGCTTCGATTAGGTTTAAAGAACTTGTACCTTACTCGTGGTAGATTCTCCGAGTATGTACTTTTACTTTAATTAAAGTATATCGTCCTTTCCGAGTCAAGTACAAATCCCAACTTCCAAGTACATTCCCCAAATATGAAGAAAAAAAAAGCGTATATCGTCTTGTGAAAACGTGCTACAGTCTTTCGATACGTCATGTGTTCATTGCTCTAAGTGAAGTAACGGAGGCTATTAGACAGCTACAAATAAGTGCCTTATAAGTTGGTTGTGTTGAAACGTTCGTCAACGAGAGTAAAACAACTACTCTGTGGCCACTTGACTTCATCCAATATTAGCCGCCATTTCCAAAAATAACTGCTGCACCCGCGATTATGCCTGGAGCACTGCATACAAGTTAAAAAGAACACTATAAGGTAATGAAAAGTCATTATGAAATATTGCGTTAAAAAGTACTTGTACTTCGAATGTACAATAAATTCATAGTATAATTTACTTGATGTATATTGCATTCGGTATACTAATTAGACCTCTACTTGAAGTACATAAACTATTATTTACTGTGCACTTTACTTCAAGTACTTTTTAGATGTACTGTACCCAACACTGGTTCATCGTCGGTGTGGGATTATTTAAATATAGTCACGTCTTTGCCCTATTGGCAACGTGCGCGATCGAAAGCGTCGCTGTGGTCGGCCTTCTACGATTGGCCGAATGCTGACTATGACGTCAGCAAAGGATTTCTCATCGACAGAAATAAGAGTAATTTAAGAAGTTTATTTTTGACGGTGTTGGTAGTGTCCGTTTCAGAGTGCAATGATTTCAAGCTTCCACCGTGCTAATTACAAACACCATCGAACTTGTTGTTCGCAAGGTAATGACGTCACGAGAGGTAACCATAGGAGGGCGCCACCAAAACATCTGGCCGCTAATACTGGGTGTTTCAAATAGCGGCCATGCTCTTTAAATCTACAGCAAAAAATCGGCTTCTTAACCTACCGCGTTACAATTTTGTGTGGCGTTGTCCAGAGGCGGTGCATTTTTACTATAAAATTTGCAAAGATCAAACTTACCGGATGAAAAAGTAAAAGGGCTTAACTCCTATAAAAACGCAGCGAAGCCACCGGTCTTCAAACAACAGGGCGCCCTACTGCTTGAAGACCGGTGGCTTCGCTGCGTATCCAAAGGAGTTAACACTTTTTCTTTTTTTACTTTTTTCTCAAGTAAGTCCAATCTTTGCAAATTTTATAGACAAAATGCACCACCTGTGAGCAACGCTGCACAAAATCGTAGCGTGATAGGTCAAGGAAACCGATATTCGCGACGATTTAAAAACCTGGCTGCTATTTGATACACCGGGTATTTCGTTTCACTTTAAGTACAACCGCAGTCAACGCTATAGCCCGACGGACCGAATCAAGCAGCGCAAAATGTGCATCGTCATTGCGCTCACGTGTTTTCTATGGGTTTGGAATCACCGGCTACACCAATAATGCATATAATAAACTTGAAGGATACTTAAGCTTTGCCTTTAACGGTGGAACACAGTAGCGTTCTCGGGCCCCGTTCGCATCGCCTTCTCATTTGCTTGTCATGCACTTTCTTCCAATGAGCAGAAAGTGCTGACTAGTCAGTGACGTGTCCGGCTCGCAACCGAAGGGCCGTGGGTTCGAGTCACATTTGAGACATGCAGCGACATTTAGTTCTCGTTAGATGTTATGTTTTTAATCACTTTCATTACACTCGGGACGTCACGTTTTACGTGAACGTTATGGTTTTTTTTAAAGTGTTCGCGGGGTCGTGGGGCCGTGACGTCATGACCCTATCGACCAATCATGATTTTCGCATCCAGCCAACGAGGCCAGATCCTCTGCAACACGAGTTCCTTGAGGGGTATCCACACGAAGGAGAAATCCGCCACTTTCCTCCGCGGATCGCGCATCACGTGAGACATACGTCATCCCTTTTTGACGCCTCGCGGCGCGTTCTCCTCCGTGGCGGAGGCGCGGAGGCTTTGTGCCGACAGCACCAATGCTCCGCAAGTGCACGCGGCGGAGCCGGGGACGGAGTTTCCCGGGATGTTGACGTCACGACATCCGTCCGCGGAGTTCTCCTTCGTGTGGATACCCCTTTAACGCCGTCGAGTTAAAAAGCGTGGGATCGCTGTGGTGTTCACTGCGCATGCGTGTATATTCGTTGTTGATGGCAAAGCAGTAAGGCGATGAGTGCCGTGACTTTTCACTTTTGGCGATATTTGATTGGCTCTATCGGTTCGCAACGTCGGCTGGGACAACGGACTTAGAGTGAAACAGAGTGTAAAGATAATCTTAGAACGAACAACCGAAATTGTCTGCCAACACGTTGCGCACCTGTCTCGAGTTTTACGTGTCTTCACCACGCTGAACGGCATGCAGGTAGCAACCACGGAGAAGTCAATCAGCCTACAAGCCTTGTTACTTAGTCTGTTATGCAAGAGTCGTTTTCACGCGAGACCGAAAATGGTCTCTCTGATAGCCAGGAAACCATCACCAAATAAGTGATATATGGATGTGTATAAGGATGGTTCATTAACTTGGACATATGAAAATGAGTGCGAGTTTACTGCGCCGTGCGGTTCGCATGCTCACAAATTTTGAACACCACTGTGTTCTTTTGCGCCGACGTCAAAGAATTACCCTTGCGCAGAAATGCGGACGAAAGGCAGATTTGCCGTCAGGGATATCACGGATTTTCGTTTAACCTGAGGTACGACTGGTTAGGCGAAGCTTCAAACCTTTATCAAAGTTTTAGGAAGGATGGATGGATGGATGGATGAATAGATAGATGGATGTTAATGGCTATACACTTTGTAACAGGTGGTAGCTTGCGCCACCTAGCCTAAGTCTAAAAAAGTTTGACATTTCTAGCGCTGTGGCCAGACTTCCTTATAGGAATGTCAAATTGTGAAAAGAAGAGAAAACGCACATTCTATACATTAGTTCGTTTTACACTTGAAAAATATTTATCGGCGTTTAAAGACTATAAACGCCAACCTCAACATGTTTAATATTAAGTTTTTTTAAAATATATGTATAACGAGAAGCACTATATCGTATCAATGTTGCTCTCCTGGTCCACCAAGCGGCTCTAGCTCCTTTCGAATTTCCGACCATGAGCAGTACAACTTACATTATTTCCGAACCTTCTTTTAAAAGTTCGACAAAGTCGAACCTAAAAAGACAAACCTGAAACTCATCAAGTTCGCAAGCTTTTAGTTGCGAAGCTCCTGTCTGAATGGCTCCTTTCGAAATTGCTCGCGCAAAATGCATAAAGTGCCTACCACGTCGCTGGCAGATGCTGAACAAGATAATGCCGAACGTACAGCCTGCGAAAACACAATGTTGAACAAAGCAGGAGCCCACAAATGCGTAAAATTAGAGCTTTGAGCCGAAAAACGGAAATCTCGGAAACCGAAAAGGGGCTAGCAGAAGCACATCCACGCGTTTTGGCCGGTCCACACGCTTGCCACTGTTTACGACTGCGTGCCTTAAAACCTCGTAAAATATCTTACGACGAAACAACACACTATTTCTTTCGCGCGTCGTTCTTTTACTCTGTTTATGGAATAACTTTTGACATTTTTTTCAAACGACCATTTCCCGTGGATATTACCCACATGTGATCTCGGAAATACAGCAAGACCTCCTCTCTAGCGAAATTCAGTTTCAGAGTCATCTCATAGATGGCACCAGCGTTCCAGTGTGCCAGTGTGTTTCTCTAGTGGTAAGAGATCACAAGAACTGGACAGTAAGCAAACGCAAATGTGCCAAAGGGCCTCAGTGTACAACCACAGTCGCCACCAATATAAAAGACCCATTTGACAAGGCTGTTTAAGGCAGACCTTCTGGATTCGCTTTCTCCGCGGGCCCAGATTACACGGGGAAACGCACGAACCTTTGTTCACTTATTACTCTTAGTTAAAAAAAAAATGGCTATGGCCAAAACGTGCTTAACACTGCCGCGTAAATAGCCTCGGCGATATTTCATATCGTGGGAGACTGTACCCGTTAGAAAAATAACGAGTGTTCAAAAAACATTTTACGAAGCCACCCACCTGCCTTTCTTACTCTCAACGTCCCGCGACGGACGTATGAAAGAGCGTTGTTGTGCAACACGGCGATGCCATAAAGCCGAGCATGTTTGATCGCGACATTTATTATGAAACCCGCCTTCGCGCGGTTGCTACGGTGACTATCTAATAAAAGCGTAGAGGTGCTTATGAAACGGCATGGAAATTTAACGGCCCGAAGCGACCCAAGTTGCGTGGGCTACAATTTCGTCGCAACCGGGAACAGAACACGTTGTGGAGCGTTGAATGCGACGACGAGATTAAAATAAATGAACTTGTGCCGGGCAAGAGAGAAAACAATTATGTTAGGGCCACGACCCCTTAGCTCTGACCCGACTTCGGGAGGTGGGTTTGCGCCAGGCATGTATACGTATACCCATTATTGGATGGAGTAACTAAGTCCCATTAAACTTTACTCTCTCAGAAATGTAACTATATGTTACCCCAATTCACGTGTTATCTTCAGGTAGCTCGGAATGTTTCGTTTTTATAAAGCAGTAGTCGCTTCCACTATTTGCTATGGCTAATAATTCCTTGCCTTTTTAATGCGATCAATCGGGGATAAGCATGGCTATACTGACATTCCTTGTGGCCATGTTTTTTTTTTTACAGCGACAACTGTTTTGG